GGATGGGGTTCATCTCTCTGGGGATGGAGTGGTTGCATTAGCCAATTCAATTGAGAGGGTAATTGATGACTTGTCTAGAAATTTAAACTGATAGATTATAGAGGTATGGGTGTTTGTGGGAAACAATCAGGCTGCAGTATTAGGGTTAAAAACGGCAGTTATTATCGGGATACCTCAGGGATATGTTTAAAAGACAATATTCAAAATAAAGTTGCTGGTAATAGCAAATCAATTGATTCACAAACAAAGAGGGATAGTAGAGGGCAACGAGTGACTAGCTCCCTTAAGGTTTACTATACAAATAGTAGGAGTCTAAGAAATAAGATAGATGAGCTAAGATTACTTGCAAGTGTAGGTAATATAGATATTATTGGTATAACAGAGACCTGGTTCAACCTGAAAGATAGAGAAATGCCTTCTGAATGCAACATACAGGGTTATAAACTATTCCACACTGATAGGGTCAACAGGAAGGGTGGTGGTGTGGCGATGTATGTTAGAGAAAATTTAAATTGTTGTCTTAGACATGATATAAGATTAGAAACATCGAACACAGAATCTGTTTGGCTACAGTTTCTCGAGGGACGTGACAAATTAATTTTGGGTGTGATTTATAGGCCTCCAAACCTTGATAGGGAGTGCAGTAAGCTGTTATGGGACGAAATTCTTAAGGCATCTAGATATGAAAATGTTGTAATAATGGGAAATTTTAACTTTAGACAAATTGATTGGAACAATATGACAGGAAATCTTGAGTCTAGTGACTTTCTTGATACGGTTCAAGATTGCTTTTTAGAACAGGTTGTGACAGAACCAACTAGAGGAAACAATCTGCTTGACTTGGTTCTTGCCAACAAAGATTCACTAATTAATAATCTTGAGGTTAATGATGAGCTTGGGGAAAGTGATCACAAATCACTTAGTTTCGATATATCATGGAATTACCAAGAGAACTGCAATCAAATCTCTGTCCCAGATTTTCGCTTGGCCGACTTCATGGGACTGAAAAATTACCTGGGTGGGCTAAATTGGGATGTCCTGACTATGGGTCAGGTAGGTGATCTTATTTGCCAATATGACGTTTTTCAGAGCATATTTCTAGCTGACCAGACAACTTTTGTTCCGAGTAGGTAAATTAGATATAACAAAAATGATCCCAAATGGATGAACAAGAGATTAAAACATCTCATTGGTCAAAAGAGAGGCATATACAGGCGCATCAAAAGAGGGGATGGGCAGTTAAGAAATCAGTATATTCAATTAAAGAGAGAAATAAAGAAAGGAATAAGAAAAGCAGAAAGGGATTATGAGGCAAAGGTAGCAAGAGATTCAAAGACTAACCCAAAAGGGTTCTTTCAGGTATACAGAAGTAAGATTAGGGACAAGATTGACCCACCTAAGAGTAACTCTGGTCAGATCACTGACAGTGATAAGGATATGAATGAAATTCTAAATACCTACTTCCTCTCAGTTTTCACCCAGGAAAATACTAGCGATATTCCTGAAATAATAGATTATGTAGAACAGGATGATAATAAACTATGTACGATTGTGGTAACTAGTGACATGGTCCTCAGACAAATAGAGAAACTAAAACCTAACAAATCCCCAGGCCCTGATGAACTGTTTGCAAGGGTGTTAAAGGAATGTAAAGAGGAACTTAGCATACCTTTGGCTAATCTTTTTAACATGTCACTACAAACTGGCATAGTGCCTGATAAGTGGAAAATGGCAAATGTAATACCTATTTACAAGGCAGGTGACAGGTCCTTGGCTTCGAACTATAGACCAATAGTGGGAAAATTTATGGAATCAATAATTGCCGAAGCAATTCGTAGCCATCTTGACAGGCACAGATTGATTAATGAATCTCAACACGGTTTTACAAAGGGGCGTTCCTGTCTTACGAATTTACTAACTTTTTTCACTAAGGTGTTTGAGGAGGTAGATCATGGTAATGAATATGATATTGTGTATATGGACTTCAGTAAGGCTTTCTATAGAGTTCCACACCAGAGACTATTGAGGAAACTTAAGGCACACGGAATAGGAGGAGAAATTTTTTCCTGGGTAGAAGCATGGCTGACAAATAGACAGCAGAGAGTTTGTATAAATGGGGAGAAATCAGAATGGGGGCACGACACAAGCGGTGTTCCTCAGGGGTCAGTGTTGGGACCGTTGTTGTTCACAATTTACATAAACGACATAGATGAGGGAATAAATAGCGACATAAGCAAATTTGCTGATGACACCAAAATAGACCGTCCAATTCATTCTAATGAGGACACTAGAGCACTCCAGGATGATTTGAATAGACTGATGCAATGGTCGGAGAAGTGGCAGATGCAGTTTAATATTGACAAATGCAAAGTTCTAAATGCTGGACAGTTAAATAACCATGCCACATATAAACTAAATAATGTAGATCTTAATACTACTGATTGCGAAAAGGATTTAGGAGTTCTGGTTAGCAGTAATCTAAAACCAAGACAACAGTGCATTAGTGCTCGCAATAAAGCTAACAGAATTCTTAGCTTCATATCTAGAAGTATAAATAATAGAAGTCCTCAGGTTGTTCTTCAACTCTATATATCCTTGGTTAGGCCTCATTTAGACTATGCTGCTCAGTTCTGGTCACCGTATTACAGAATGGATATAAATGCTCTGGAAAACGTACAAAGGAGGATGACAAAGATAATCCCATGTATCAGAAATCTTCCCTATGAGGATAGACTGAGGGCCCTGAATCTACACTTTCTCGACAGGCGTAGAATTAGGGGGGATATGATCGAGGTGTATAAATGGAAAACAGGAATAAATAAAGGGGATGTCAATAGCGTGCTGAAAATTTCCAGCCAAGACAGGACTCGCAGCAATGGTTTCAAGTTGGAAAAAATCGGATTCAGGAAGGATATAGGAAAGCACTGGTTTGGTAATAGAGTTGTGGATGAGTGGAACAAACTCCCGAGTACAGTTATTCAGGCTAAAACGTTGGGTAGTTTTAAAAATTGGTTAGACAAATACATGAGTGGGTGTGGGTGGGTGTGAGTTGGACCTGACTAGCTTGTGCTGCTGGGTCTGGTGCAGTGCTCCATCCTTGAGTGGAGGTGACCAGACTGGGTGGGTCATTGGGCTAATCCGGGGGGGGTGGTCATTGGTCTAATCCGGGGGGGACATGGACCTGCTCCGCATGGGTCAGTAGGCCTGTTGCAGTGTTCCTTCTTTCTTATGTTCTTATGTTCTTATATAAAATATTTAACTTCCAGATGGTCATTGGCAACGGCACAACTTATCAACGAAAAACATAACACTAATAATTATTCCAATAATATGAACAATATTTAAAAGATTTCGCAATATTCTTCTCAAGTGACTGAGTAACTGACTTGTCTAACTGGCTGTGTGAATAGCTGACTGCCTGAGTAACTGAAGGATCTTGTACACAAATAACCCGCACATAGAAGAGAGGAGCCTACGACGACGTTTCGGTCCGACTTGGGCCATTTACAAGTCAGTGTGACTTTGTAAATGGTCCAAGTCGGACCGAAACGTCGTCGTAAGCTCCTTTCTTCTATGTACGGGTTATTTGTGTATCGTTCCAGTCACGGTATTGTGACTTTTTTTTATTTACTGAAGGAACTTGTTAGTGGCTGGTGGACTAGTTTAGAAGCTGACCAACTGGCTTAGCTGTTGACTGAATGATTGACTGGTTGATTAGGTGGCTGACTGATTCACTTACTAGTTACCTGGTTGGCTGACTGATTCGCTAACAGGGTTGACCGTCGCCAGCCAGGCGCGTCTTGGTAAATACTCTGGACGGAGTCGACCCACCCGATACACATGTCACCTTTTTCCTGACTACGCAACTTTCTCAACTTTTTTTTCCCCGTGGAGTTTTAGCTGCGTCTCTGAAGCACAATTTTACTCCTCTGGAGAGAGTTTGTGAGGAACCTCTGCTGGTGTGAGCTAGAGAGAGAGCTCTGCTGGCAAGAACTTTTGAGAGATCTCTGCTGGCATGAGCTTGTGAGAGAGCTCTGAGAAATCCATGAACATACAAGCTTCTGAGAATGCTTTAAGGTTGTCGTCGTATGAGGAACCTCTTCTGCTGTGAGCTTACGAAGAACACGAAAGTCTCTTCTGGTGTTTACGAAGTCAGGAAGAGAAACAAGAATAGTTTAAAGGTTTCGTTAATTCCGCTCGCTCGGTGAAATTTTCTCCCATCCAGCAAAAATATATCTGTTTTAATTTCCACCCTCTCGCTAAGCTAATGTCAGCTTGTGAAAAAATGTAAAGTTTGTTGTGATTTTTCTTTTAAAATTATCTTATAATGCATTAGAGCTGTGTTATAGAGTAAGAGAGAGAGAGAGAGAGAGAGGGAGAGAGAGGGAGAGAGAGAGAGAGAGAGAGAGAGAACAGACAGACAGACAGACAGACGGACAGACAGACAGACAGTGTCAATAATAGTTGAGATTGTAAATAACAGAATAGCAAAAGACTCTCTCCCCGTTCTCCAATTCCTGTGACCCTCATTGTCGTCTTGAAAATAGTGGATGAACGCGCAGATGAAAGCAGAGTCGATAGCTATGTTATAACTTTCACGTTTTTCACTATTATTGTGCATTGGATGATCAATATTCAACTTTTCATCCATTTTTTATAGTGAGCTTACATCATGGTTGAACTGACTACAACCATGGCATGCGTTGCACAAAGCTGAATTCTATATTTGCAAAGCGATTTTGGAACCTGATCTAAAAGAGTTTTAAAAAGTTTTGTAAGTTAGAGGACTGTTCCAATGGTCTGTAACTCTGTATTAAACCTTTACTGAGTTATACGTCTTCCTGAGTTTCATGACTATGATTCGTGTCTTTGATTAACTTTCACTTTCATATAGACCTCTGTGACTGCATTAAATGTCTTTGATGACAGTTGTGTTGCAGAGGTTTGAGCTTTGCTCATACCTCTGCAACACGTGTCAAGACGTGTCATTCAGCACTTACCAACAACGTGAAGAAGAACTCTGGCGTTGTGCGTGGGAGAGGACTGGAAATCCAAGCGGCAGCGATACTCGCCCTGGTCGCTGAACTCCACTTCGCGTACCACCAACGTCCAACTCCACCCTCGCTGCTTCTGAAAGCTTGCACGGCCACCGAAGCCGTCGGCTGCGGCGCGCGGGTTTCCTGTTCCGTCCTGCTGATGACCACGACTTCGTGAGTCCACGCTGAAGGAGGCGAAGAGAGGGAAGAAATGATGCAGATCTTTATTGGCAATAATGAAAGATGTGTTGCTGATGAGGGATATAGCGTGATGGTTATAATAAGTGGCATGCTGGTTATACAACGTCCTTTTAGTGTATTATGTTTTAAAGGTTCGTTAATACAGAAGTTTATCTATTCTATATAGTTTTATCTTCAAAGATGGCATGCACGGATGGCATGCACGGTTTTTAAATACGACACAAATTTACCTGTAAATTGAAATGTAACAAAGACTAAGTCATAACTAAATTTGTATCGGTCTCTGCACGATCCTAGAAAGGTTTTCCTGTATCCCATCAATCGAACCTCTTCTGTTTCTATGAATCTAACTTAAATAGTGCAGGGTACTCATAAAATACTAATACAATGAGAGGTTAAAAAATGTGTGTGTGTGTGTGTGTGTGTGTGTGTGTGTGTGTGCGTAATATGTATACTTACAAATGCATGTAAAGTATATTGTATTGCATATGTATGTGCAAAGTGTGGGTGTCAGTGGATGTTTATGTCTGAACATATATTCGTGTGCATGTGTATGTACCGACGTGTGTGTATGGATGTATGTATTCATGTATGGCTGCTTATATATGCGCGTTACTGATGTATACTTATTCATGTATGCATAAGCACATGTATATATGCACGTGTGCATATGTATGCATGTATAGTAATAGATTTTTCTTATTTATGATGCCCCCTTTTCACGCCATGATCTCCACCTTTTTTCTCCAGAGTGATCTACTCTGGCAGAGCGGTCTCCGTTGACTAGAATTTTTCCAAAACTTTCACGGATGCAATTATGGCTTCCCAACAGTTTATCGTCACACTATTTCTTTGTATCAACAGTTTTTTCCTAGTTTTTCGTAAAAAATTAAAATTTGATTAATTTTTCAGAAGTATATTTTATATATATATATATATATATATATATATATATATATATATATATAAAATATATATATATATATTAATATATATATAGTTAGGGAAATGTAGATAATTTTTCTCTTAGAGTATAATACTCTCGGGGTCTAATACATATTTTAAATCGTATTATTAAAGACAGAGTAAAAATTAGTGGCTCAACCGTAATCCATTTGTACTTTAGGTTCATTTGAGTAATTCAGTGAATTGTGATTCCCATGTTACATGCATTGTACCAAAGGTATATGCAGTGTACTATAGGTATACTCAGTGTACCATTTCAATGAAGTGTACCTCCCTTGATACCAATTACAGCATTCTACCAAACGTATAAGGTATATATTTCAAGATTTAGCCACTAATATTAGGGTATAGTTCCTGGTTTCTAAGGGTAAGCAGGTGAACTGACCATTTATGAGGATCTTATGATACAGCTCCTGGTCTCCATTTTAGAGGGCGTAACCACATAAATATTTAGGTATTCTTAACATGTATGGAAGTAACCATATTCAGACACAGGTAAGCTTCATTGTGGTAAGCATGGTAAATAAAATAATTACAAATTATTTTATTGACATGTTAAACGGTTATTGACAATTACAAAAATACATGTTATACATTTAAGTACAATGGTGGCATTATATACAATTTTTTAAATACATTCTTCATTCTTTATCCAACTTATAATCTGCATCATTTAGATATATACAGTGTTACACAACTACAGGCATTATTTTTATATCAGGGTGTATATTATCCTAGTACAATCATCTGCATTTTGGGGATATACATAGGTGCTCATATCCTAAGGAAACACTGATATTTAAGATGAACTTTTGATCAATGGCAGACAAACCCCTCTTTTTAATCTTAACTGTACACATTTCTGAAGTGACACATTATAATATTAACTCGGTAATGTATTCTGTAAAGTTGGATGGTGAGATGGGAAATATCGGTAGAGTAACGGGAATCCCATCCAGTTTCATGCCATTATTAACTCTTGCTCGCTGTAAGAATGTTTCGTCTAATCCAGATAAGGAAACTAAGTGCAAATCAGTTAGTAATGTGAAGGGGCAAATGTGTACAGTTATGATTAAAAAAGAGGTTTGTCTGCCTTTGATGATAAGAAGCGCTTCTTAGATATCAATGCTTCTTTAGGATATAGCCATCCTGATATACCCCCAAAATGCAGAAGAATAAACTAGGATAATCTTCACTAACAATCTATATACCTCAATGATGAGAACTAAAACTTGTATATTTTACCATGAAGAATTTATTTTAAAACGAGTAACATCACCATTGTAACATCACCAGTGTATGTACTCTTGAAGTTGTGGTAAAAATTTGTATTGTATTTATCATGCTGACCACAATAATGCTGACCTGTGTTGAATATGCTTACCTCCTTACCCTTGGGGATCTGAAACTGTATATTAAAGCCCACAAAATTGGTCGGGTCACTTGCATATATATTTTGGGACCAGGAGCTGTACCTCAAGATCCGCATAAGTGGTCAGGTCACTTGTTTACCCTTGGTAGAATACGATAATTACACCATGGGAGATACAATTCATTGAATTGGTACACTGAATCGGTAAAATGAATCTTATGTACAAATGAATTATGGTTGAGAACACTGCATAACAACACTAATTTTACTCTGTCTTTAATAATAAGTTTTAAATGAAATTCCAAGGGCAATATTACCTACATTTAATTGTCACTAACATTTATACGTAATTATCACTGAAAAAAAATCCCATTTACAAATATAAATTGTGGGAAAAGTATTGATATATGGAAATGAAGTGAAAATAACTCTTTGGGTAATGAAACCGAAATTTCATCTACTGAATTCTTAAAAAAAAAAATTGTCAAAGAAACTGAGGTATCCCTAGCGTAATAGATCCCTCCGGGTCTATTACCCTAGGGATACCCATAGTGGGATTAAGTATGCCGAAAATTATAAGACTTTAAAAAAAACTGATCCAAGTAAATGGATTGAAAATAAACTCTTGGGAAAATAAAACCAAAATTTCAACCGCCAGAAATATAAGTCTTAGAAAAAAATTTTGTTCCAAGAAAATGGAACTGGCCACTCTGAGATAGACGCTGAAGGTGGCCATACAACTGGCCACTCTGAGATAGACGCTGAGGGTGGCCATACAACTAGCCACTTTGAAATAGACGCTGAGGGTGGCCATACAACTGGCCACTCTGAGATAGACGCAGAGGGTGGCCATACAACTGGCCACTCTGAGATAGACGCTGAGGGTGGCCATACAACTAGCCACTCTGGCTGCTGTTAGAGAAAGCCCATTACTGTGCATGCATACATGTGCATATATATATATATATATATATATATATATATATATTATATATATATATATATATATATATATATATATATATTGCACACGAGGTATAGAAAGAAATTTAGAAAACTCACTCCTATGCAGTTTGACTTGGTTTACACTTGCTCACAATGAACGTTCTCAGTTGTATAGCAAAACAAATGTATCCTGAGCACACTGTGTTTTATTTTAATTATAGAAACTGATTAAATTTGCACTAGCCTCCAGGACTCAAAATGTGAAAGAATGACAAGTTTAATGTGAGTGAATGACCAGAGTGAAGTAGAGACAGAGAGAAGCACAATCAGACTGATAGATGGGGGGAGTGTGACAGAGATAGACAGTGAGACAGAGGCACAGTCAATCATATGCACTACCTGCAGCGACGAAAATAAAAAGAGAGACCTCCGGGAGTCGAGAATTAAGCAATAGACTGGAAAATGGAAAATCCAGTTACTGGAATATTGGAATCGAGGCTTGTATGACTATGAATATGAATTGAAATATATAATCGTTGGCTCTGGAAATTTTTAAAAATCCCTCCTGCGTAACCTATATATATATATATATATATATATATATATATATATATATATATATATATATATATATATATATATATATCGTGCAGAATAGGTAAAACCTGTGATTTTGGCTTAAATAGCAAGGCTCTTCTTGCCGAAAAACGGGGAGCAGAATGAAATTACGTCTGAGGCACCCACACCATCGTATGTCCTCGGATCACGGTACAACAACTAGCTCTGCTGGGTGCGTTTATCTTTGTAGGATTGAATGGTCCAGTGGGTTAGTGTGTCGTGAACTGCCACTCGCCATGAGGAGGGCTAAAACAACACTGGTTCGATCCCCCGGCTAGTCGCAGTGTTGTTATTGATTGAATACCACTCTTTCGTGGCTACAATTATATATATATATATATATATATATATATATATATATATATATATATATATATATATATATATATATATATATATATATATGTCGTGCCGAATATGTAAAACTGGTCAATTAGCAAGAACTCATTTAAAATTAAGTCCTTTCTAAAATTTTCTCTTATAGGTTCAAAGATACATTTTTTTCATTAATGTTGATGTAAAAATTTATAATTTTGCACCAAAAGGAACTTAGAAAACTTACCTAACCTTATTATAACAAGAACAATTTATTTTAGCCTAACCCAGCTAAATATGTTTTAGATTTGTTTACAATAATTTAATACTAAACAAACACAGTGAAATATATTTTTTTCGTTAAGTTCAGAATGATTTTGGCAAAATTATTGCATACACAAATTTTCACTTGTCCTATATGGCAAGATGAACGTTGCTATTTAAGCCAAGATCGCAAGTTCTGCCTATTCGGCACGACATATATATATATATATATATATATATATATATATATATATATATATATATATATATATATATATATATATATATATATATATATATTATATATGTCGTGCTGAATATGTAAAACTGGTCAATTAGCAAGAACTCATTTAAAATTAAGTCCTTTCTAAAATTTTCTCTTATACGTTTAAAGATATATTTTTTTTCATTAATGTTAATGGAAAAATTTTTAATTTTGCATCAAAAGAATCTTAGAAAACTTATGGGGTTTAAAAAACGGCGCTTTTAGTTATATTTTTATTCTCCCTCTCTCATTTTTACACAAGGTTTTGCAAGGCTGGGTTTAGGTTTCCTAATTTTATTTACAAGCTAAGAGCTGTTGCCTACATAGGCTCATTTGAAATCTCTCTCTCTCTCTCTCTCTCTCTCTCTCTCTCATACTGCCTTTTTTCTCCCTCTCTGTCTCTCTTCTTCTTTCCTCATCATTTCTGTTGCAGCATTGTTGGGCCTACTTCAATTATTTTAATCAAAGCGCTCGTTAATAAGGTGAAAATTGAATTCCACAAATTCGCGCTAAATTAAAAATTATATTCCCTAATATCAGTAGCAATGTAAAATTATTTACTTAAATTGGAGCATTAGTGAGTAAACTAGATTTTTTCCCCACTCAAATCTCTCTTTCTCCAAATATAATTATGGAATAATTTTTAAATATTACCTTCAAAAATTACTTTAACTATGGCTCAAATAGCCAGAATTGATAGCCTATTGTTCTTTAGTATCTGGAAATGCTATCACATTCATGGGGAAGCACTGAAACGCAAGGAGGTCGTACAGCTTTGGGGAAATCGAAGGCAATCAGATTCGATCCAAAGATGGAGAGGGTAGCTCCATTTGCTTAGATTAAGGGTTATCATTAAAGTTCCTTCCCTGGTGCAGGAGGGGCGGCAGGTCTCTTTTGCGAGCCGTAGCATCAATAAGCCTTCGATTTGTCGATGTATCTGGTACCATTGCAATTCACCACCCTCCTTGTTGTAAAGTGTCTTCAAGATTAGAGAAACAGCGGGAACAATCCTATGATCTCACTAGATCACCGGCATCACAGTTCGAGTATTAATTTCCCCTACGTGAAGAAAAGGGACACATTGCAGAACATAGTAATTATGGAACAATGTTTCATTCTGTGTTGAGCTTTATGAAGTGTGACTACTCAGTGGTCCAAGTCGGACCTCAACGTCGTCATAAGCTTCTTTCTCCTATGTGTGGGTTACTTGTGTATTGTTCAAGTCATGGTATTATGCCTTTTTGTTCTTTATCAGGTCATGATATAGCTTTACTCAGGGCGAAACATCGTCCCGATAAATCTTGATCTGTAACGTGGTTGCTCTCTTGACTACTTTCTGTAATACATCATTTGGACGCGAACTTACGAACAATTCCAGTAATCTAAAGTGATGATAATCTTATCAAATGATATGGAAAAAAACACGTACATTATTATTATAATAAAAAAAGAAGCGCTAAATCACAAGGGCTATAAAAACAAAACAAAAAAAAAAAACACGTCCAATCAGGACATTTATTAGAGAAAAAATTCCGCCACTAGTGGCTTCTTCAGTCCTAAGAGCGAGTACATATATACAGAGGCAGGAATCAGGTGGAAAGCAACGAGAGGGTAGTAGTAGTAGTCGTACTACTACAGGTACGGGTAGGTTCGCCAGGACGGGTCCTGGCCCGGGTCTTCTCAATGTGGTGACCCGGCAGCGGCTCCTGTAGCACTACTACCCTCTCGTGAGTGTATATAAGGGCAGGAGTACGGTGGAAAGCCGCGTTCCACCTGACTCCTGCCTTTATATATGCTCGTTCTTAGTTATCCCTATATTAAAACTGAAATAGCCACTAGTGCGAAGAGTTCCTTCTAATAAATGTCCTGAACTGTACATAATTATATTTTACCACATTTTGTCGGTATCATCATACCATTTCTCACTTATCCAATGAGTTTCAATCCCTTTAAGTTCTAAGTTCTTGTTTCAAACCTTTTGAACACTCGAGGTGAGGGCCGTTAAAGAATGTTTTCATCCTAAGCTTGTCTACCCATAACTTCTTCTCTTTGATAATACATGAGAATTCTTATTCTAGATAGATCTAGATAGTTCTTCTGAACTATCAGCCTATGTGATGACTTAGAATTATATGCAACACTTGGGTATCTATCTTTATTACAGAAACGTTTCGCCTGGAAAACAACTTTCGCCAGTCGCCAAGACCAACGGACTGATAACGTCAAATCTACTACTTCTTCCACCGTTGAATTCACCTGTAATACACTGAAGAAACCTCTTGAACTACCGGCATGTTTCGGTAATCAATATACAAATTGTTGTAAATTGGTCTTATATATCAACCTGTCCATATATTATACCATCAATAAGTTACTCTTGGTGTGGCCATGTAGAGCACAGCTATCTGTCTTCTCCATGTACTCCCATGTTCTCTCCTGTTACATGCTCGCAGCAACAAAAGCTTCACTTACAGAATCTTTCGCACGGATTCAATGCTTCACATCAAGGGGAAAAAAGTAACAACTTAAACCACCTTGCTACCAAAGCTGGTGTTGAGACATATATCTGCATTTGTAAATATAAATTTCATATTTGGTTTTATTTCTGAATCGATGTTTATGGATTTCATCGTTCCTTTTTGAGACACGAGGTGACAGTGTCTCAAAATTACTGGACGTAGGGTCGATCCTCTACCATCACCTGTGCTGAAGCATCCACGCTCGTAGGGAGCGTCATAGATAACTATATCTGCTGTTCGATAACTTCTTCAAATGCCGTTTTTCAGTGACGGAAAGAACAAAGATCTTCTCTTCAGTGAACATTAGTAGGATCCATTTTTTTTTCTTTCTTAATAAAAATATATTTCACTGTAAAAATTTCTTAGTCATCCAGAAGATGAAAAAAAAAGTGATTTCACTCTGTGTAAAGATCTGGTAGAAAATTTGACTCCTTTAATAATAATAAGGAAAGCGTATCTTTAAACATACATGAACATAAGAATTTTAACCTATTCCTCGCAGGCTCAAGTCAGCATCACACTGTAAAGCCCAGGTACAAGAGAGAGAGAGAGAGAGAGATGGCTCCAACTTCATCCAGTTCCTTTCTTGTATGTCTCATAGCAATAAAAATGCTTTCAAATGAGCTGATGTATGAAACAGCTCTTAGCTTGCCAATAAAGCTAGGGATCCTTAACCTAACCTTGTCAAACCCTATGTAAGAGAGAGAGAGAGAGAGAGAGAGAGAGGGGGAGGTGCTGGCGATGGGTAAAAGGAAGGTGTGGAAGGCAGGGTAAACAGGTGAACATAAAACAGGTCGTGCTCACAATATACACGGTAATCGGTGAGAAAAAACAGACACACATTCTAAAACATAAATTGCATGACACACAAACAGGGTGGAAGACATAGTGTATTGTCGACAAGTAGGAAGACAGAGATACACGTTAAAGAAACAACTTTTACTGGGACTTAAAGTTCTACAAAGCGAAATGTTTCCCAATAAAAAGCTTATTCTGCAACTTGTGTCTTCGAATCATTAGATCTAAGGTATAATACCCACAGATTGATGAATTAGACATAAGCAACGCCTATCTTTATATATATATATATATATATATATATATATATATATATATATATATATATATATATAATATATATATATATATATATATATATATGTCGTGCCGAATATGTAAAACTGGCCAATTAGCAAGAACTCATTTAAAATTAAGTCCTTTCTAAAATTTTCTCTTATACGTTTAAAGATATATTTTTTTCATTAATGTTGATTTAAAAATTTATAATTTTGCACCAAAAGGAACTTAGAAAACTTACCTAACCTTATTATATCAAGCTAAATTTATTTTAGCCTAACCCAACTAAATATATTTTAGATTTGTTTACCATAATTTAATACTAAACAAACACAGTGAAACATATTTTTTTCGTTAGGTTCAGAATAATTTTGGCGAAATTATTGCATACACAAATTTTCACTTGTCGTATATGGCAAGATGAGCGTTGCTATTTAAGCCAAGATCGCAAGTTCCCTGCCTAATTCGGCACGAAACACTCACACACACACACACACACATATATATATATATATAAAATATATATATATAATATATATAATATATAATATATATAATATATATATTTAGTGAAGGGACTCAGGAAACCGGTTATTTTTCATATAGTCGGACTTGAGCCAGGAAATGGGAAGTACAATGCCTGCACTTTAAAGGAGGTTTGGGATATTGGCAGTTTGGAGGATATGTTGTGTATCTTTATATGTGTATGCTTCTAGACTGTTGTATTCTGAGCACCTCTGCAAAAACAGTGATAATGTCGAGTGTGGTGAAAGTGTTGAATGATGATGAAAGTATTTTCTTTTTGGGATTTTCTTTCTTTTTTGGGTCACCCTGCCTCGGTGGGAGACGCCGACTTGTTGAAAAATATATATATATATATATAATATATTTAATATATATATATATATATATATATATATATATATAAATATATAATATTATATATATATACATACATATACACGGAGAGACGTTTCGCCTGCATAGCAGGCTTTAGATTCATAAATTTTGCTGAACATGGGAAAATGTCTTAATATAAAAGAAAAAACAGGTGCTGCATATATTTCCCTTTCATCAATCAGTGTGTTTATCTGCAGAGACGCAAACAAGGATAGAACAAGAGAGCTTACCTGAAGACGGGTGTTTTAGTGCCGTTCTTGTACCAGAGAACCAGTATGACAGGGTCTTCCGGGGCGGTGGTGAGGTTACAGGGAAGATATGTTGTCTGACCTCTCACTGCATACACGGCCACCAGCGGTGCTGTGGGCCAACAACACAACACTTGGTCATTTGGCTGAAGGTCTTAACTATCGACAGAAATGAAGGCAAGATAAATGTAGCAGATAAAAGGGGACAACCTTTCGCTCTAAAGAGAGCGTGAAAGAGGGGGAATTTCCTAAAAATGTTAGTTAATATATATATATATATATAAATATATATATATATATATATATATATATATATATATATATATATATATATATATATATATATATATAAATAATGCCGTGCCTAATAGGTAAAACTGGCCAATTAGCAAGAACTCATTTAAAATTAAGTCCTTTCTAAAATTTTCTCTTATATGTTTAAGGATATATTTTTTTCATTAATGTTGATGTAAAAATTTATAATTTTGCACCAAAAGGAACTTAGAAAACTTACCTAACCTTATTATAACAAGCGTAATTTATTTTAGCCTAACCCAACTAAATAAATTTTAGATTTGTTTACAATAATTTAATACTACTAAACAAACACAGTGAAATATATCTTTTTCGTTAGGTTCAGAATGATTTTGGCGAAATTATTGCGAAATTATTCCTGTTGTAGAGAACGTGGGTTACCGATCAATATACAGAGCTGCTTCCTCATTTCTTGCTTCCTGTGTGTCTCACCGTGAGTTTCTCAGTTACTATAGTAAGCTAAGATAATATGTTTACTGTGGGTAAAGAACATCATTAATCTCGTTGAGGGAAGAGCTGTAACGAAAACAGTGAAACAACCATATGAAGGAATACTGCATATTTCGACTTCATACCAACGCCCATTTCAACAAACTAAAAAGTGGAGACAGTGGCAGGCTGCAGCGGTTGGTAACGAAGACACACTTGCTGAGGGGACCTTCATTTCAAAAATGTTTCACGCAACATTAGGCTTTATCAAGCAGTTTAAAAACGCATATTGTTGGATGAAACGTTCCAATGAAGGTCTTACATCTTTGACCCGTGTTTCTTGAAAAACTGATATATGTATATGATAATTAGATGATAGGCATATATTACTGATAACTTGATGACCAGGGCACATCTTCTACACTTGGGTATCTAGGTGTTGCACATGCGTCTTATTCACCAATCTTTACACACTACTGAAGCTTGTCGATGAAATCTCTATCTGTGGGCCAGGATGCAGGGAGCTGATGGGAGCACCACAGGGACATTCAAACCCGTGTGGACGAGGGGCGCGAACCTTCACACAAACATGGATGAACCTAAACCGGGACGGGAAATGGTTAATCAATGGCTGCTAGTGCAAGTGACCAAAGGTGGTTTTGGAGATATAGCCCCGTAAAAAAGGAATAGAGGAGCATGGGGGAGAGAGAGAGTGAGAGGGCCAGGGGAAAGGGGTGTTAGCGTGAATGGAACGGATGTCAGGTGAAAGGAGGAAACGAAATGGAAGGCACGACTTGTTCCATCTTTGGCAGCGTTTTCTAGGAAGGTGATCAAAATAGTTTGTGTTTGGATGGTGAGAGAGAGAGAGAGAGAGAAGAGAGAGAGAGAGAGAAGAGGAGAGAGAGAGAGAGAAAAGAGAGAGAGAGAGAGAGAGAGTGAGTTAATGTAAATAGAAAAAGCAATATTATGGACAATAATAAAAGTAATAATAATAATAATAATAATAATAATAATAATAATAATAATAATAATAATATTAATAATCTCAAACGGAGAGCACCGTCTACAAAAATGAGCATTGGTCATTAAAAATCTTATCTCCAGACGTTAAAGGGGATTTTTTTGCATAAAACATGTAGCGGATACAAGGTGTCGTGCGAAATGGGCTTAAGCAGCTGTTTATTCCAATTACCTTGAACTCTCGGGAGCACGGTCATCGACAGCTTGATTGAAACGAAGAGGCTGAGAACCAAGTAGGTGTGTGTGTGTGTGTGTGTGTGTGTGTGAGAGAGAGAGAGAGAGAGAGAGAGAGAGAGAGAGAGAGAGAGAGAGAGAGAGAGAGAGAGAGAGAGAGAGAGAGAGAGAGAAGTTCTAGCACCAGCTGGGGACCCACAGCCTCGGAGAAGAGCATAATGTACTTCCTGCGTTTTTTTAATATTTTAGTCCCCATCCTCTCCAATATGCATTATTTTTGATATCTGTATAAAAACAAATACATTTATGAAATTCAATGGATAATACATAAATCTGCATGACGTTACGAGCTATATCTTCAATAATTCATCCAGAGTCCCAACTCAGACCAACTTATCCATCACAGTCTAGTTGATCAGGTACTGATGAGAGGAACTTTTTAAGTTCCCTTTTGAAGACAACGGAGAGCCTCGTGTTCAGAATCTTGCAAGCATTTCCTCAATGGAGTACCACACTGAGTCTGTGGAAAAGGAAGCTGGTCGCCCTGATGTCCTTGGTTTCCTCGACTAGTTTGTCACCCAGCTCTTTCAGAAACCCTGAATGTACACATGTTCCAGGATCCGAGAGTCTCAAACCCTATTTGGAATGATTTTTTTTTTTTGCACACTTCACTTTTACAGGAAGAGTTGTTATTCTACCTCGGTTCATTTCAATTCCCAGCCCTATTTAAGGTATGCTACCAAGTTATTGCATGATGCCAGTCCACTGGCGGCACCATCCGCTTCAGCTTCAGAATTTTGTAGGTGTAATCCAACGCAATCTGCTTACCGTCTTTCCATGGTAACATCGTGAATCCACAAGCGCGCTTGTGACTGCCATCGGGTCTGAGTACAAGAGGTCGCTATTGTGTTGGGCAACAGGCTGTGACGAGACTTCACTTGATATCACTAACCTCATAAGCCCAGCCCCTTACCTCAATGCATGCAAAAACAATCAAAACAATAGTGCAAGGAGGTTGTAAACTTCTAATGCACCAACATGTATAAAAAATGTTAACGTGTGTCTGTGTTTGTATGTATTTCTGTGTGTGTATGTATGTGTGTGTGTAAAATCTGGAGATTTCCTTTTGCTTGTCCTTAATTTCTCTGTGAGTACTCTAAAAGTGAGAAACAAACGATAGGAGGAGTGTCCACAGACAAGCTAATTAGAGAGCACAGCTGCACCATCTCAAAGGTAGTACAACCCTGGGATATGTTTTTCTTGAAGGAGGGAAGGCAAATTTTTGAAGGCACTTTAGGTTTCAAAATATTTTTTTTAATTGTTTGTAAAGGTTAAACTGATGGCGTTAATTAGTTTTTTTTCTTATTATTGTTATTGCAGCTATAAAATTGCAACATTAACACCCATCCTTCAGAGTGCAGGCACTGTTCTTCCCATCTCCAGGATTCAAGGCCGGCCTGCCGGTTTCCCTGAATCCCTTCATAAACATTACCCTGCTCACACTCCTTCAGCACGTCAAGTCCGAAAAACTATTTGTCTCCATTCGCTCCATTCGCGTTTTTGCTGGAAGTTCAAGCCCCTCACACAAAATAACCTCCTTTAACCTCTTTTAAAGGTTGAAGGGATCTTCAACCTTTCTTAGGCCGACCTCTACCCCACCTTTCCTCCACTACAGATTTATACACTCTCGAAGTCATTCTGATTTGTTCCATCCTCTCTACGTGTCCTAACCACCTCAACAACCCCTCTCAGCTCTCTGGATAAGAGGTTTGGTAATCCAGCACCTCCTCTTAATTTCCAAACTACGAATTCTTTGCATTATATTCACACCACACATTGCCCTCAGACACATCTCCACTGCCTGCAGCCTTCTCCTTGTTGCAATACTCACAACCCATGCTTCACACCCATATAAGAGCGTTGGTTTAACTATACTCTCATACATTCCCTTCTTTGCTTCCATGAACAAAGTTCTTTGTTTCCACAGACTCCACAGTGCACCACTCACCTTTTCCCCTCGCTAATTCTATGATTCGCCTCATCTTTCATAGATCCATCTGCTGACACGTCCACTCTCAAATATCTGAATGCATTCACCTTCTCCATACTCTCTCCCTCCAACCAGATATCCAGTCTTTCGTTACCTATTTTTTTTGTTATCCTCATCACCTTACTATTTCCTATATTCAGTTTCAATTTTCTTCTTTTACATACCCTACCAAACTCATCCACCAGCCTCTGCAACTTCTATTTAGAATCTCCCAAAACCACAGTGTCATCAGCAAAAAGCAACTGTGACAACTCCCTCTTTGTGTTAGATTCTTTTTCTTTAAACCCCAAACCTCTTACCAGCACGCGAGCATTCACTTCTCTTACAATCCCCTTTAAATATATTGAACAACCATGGTGACATGACATATCCTTGTTTAAGGCCTACTTTTACTGGGAAATAATCTCCCTCTCTTCAACATACTCTACCTGAGCCTCACTCTCCTCGTAAAATGTTTTACTGCTTTCAATAACCTACCTCCTTTTCCATACGTTTGCAACATCTGCCACATTGCCCCCCTATCCACCCTGTCATACGCCTTTTAAAAATCCATAAATGCCACAAAAACCTCTTTACCCTCATCTAAATACTGTTCACCTATATTTCTCACTGTAAACACTTTGTCTACACACCCTCTACCCTTCCTAAAGCCTCCTTGTTCATCTGCTATCCTGCTCTCCGTCTTACTCTTAATTCTTTCAACATCATACACTTTACCAGTTATACTCAACAGACTTATTCCTCTATAATTTCTGCATTCTCTTTTGCCCCCTTTGCCGTTATACAATGGAGCTATGCATGCTCTCTGACAATCCACTAGGTACCTTACCGTCTTCCATACATTTATTAAATAAAAGCACCAACCACTCCAAAACTATATCCCCACCTGCTTTTAACATTTCTATTTTCATCACATCAATCCCACTTCCTCAAGAACTTCCCCCACACTCACAACTCGCTCTTCCTCACTCCTACAAGATGCTATTCCTCCTTGCCCTATACACGAAATCATAGCTTCCCTATCTTCATCAGCATTTAACAATTCCTCAAAACATTTCTCCCTATATATATATAGGGGGAAATGTTTTGAGGAATTGTTAAATGCTGATGATGAAGATAGGGAA